AAGCCTATTAAAGCTTATTAAAAATAACACGAAAAAGCTTATTAGTATAATCAAATTTTGGGTGCATATTCAAGCCAATAAAAAATAAAGTAGTATTGGAAAAAAGAATGCAATTATGATGAATAAGGACGATTAAATAAAAATACTGAGTTAAATATCAATTTAATTATTTTATTAAAATTTTATTTAAAGTGCGCGAAGACGTATTTGATTATAAATGTCAGATATAATATTTTAAAAATTGTAACAATTATTTGGAATAGAAGCAGTTTAAAGAAATTGTAAGCAAAAACCGGAATTTCCTAGTTTTCTATGACCAATTTTAATATCCATGACTTTTACCAGTTTTTTCGGTTCTAGCTCTATGGCAACCCTGATAAAGAAAAATGATATAGCAAGTTTACAGTTCTTAATTGCTTGTGGAGACTTTCTTAAGACTCATTCTCGATTACGACAATGTTGCATAAGATATATAGGATTTTCAATTAATTCTATGAGACAAATTCTACTCGCCCATAGTTAATCGAGAACAAAGACAGCTTTTAAGCCACTGATCATAGTATAATTGAAATAATATTTAAAAAATAGGAAAAATTGCTTTAAAAACATGATCTTCGCAAAAAATTGAATTAAAAGTTGCGCAAGTCAGTGATCATAAAGTACCATCAAAGAGAGCCACATTATCTACAAAATACTTTTAATCGTAATATTAATAATATACAGATTGTAAATAACTAAACAATAATAAAATATGCTGTAACAAGTTCTTCCTCCCCCTCTCTCTCTCTCTCTCGCGCGCGCGCGCGCGCGCGCGCGGGCGCGCGCGGGCGCACACACACACACACACACACACACACATTCATTCACATTTTCATTCTCATTTTCACACTTTCTCTCCTTCTCATTGTCAATTTTCTTCTAGTTCCGCCTCATGAAGGACCGAAACAATGAAGAAGGCACGGGGCAGTATATCGGATGGTATTTCTTTTCGATTTCAATATGCACCTTTCTTTTTCTCTCCCTCATACTTTTAATTTCAATTACCACCGCTTTCGACAGCTTCTTGTTCATTCTCACTACGTCGAACCAAAAGGATGGATAGGACAGGGAGGAGCACCATTTGAGGGACATCTCGCTGAGTTCTTGGAGTCACTTACATCGATAAGGTTTAGTTAACTATTTCTTTCATTTAGCAATTCTTCATTCTTCATTTAATTCTAGTTATAATTCAAATAAAGATTTTAAAAAATTGTAGTTATAATCTAAATAGAAATACTTTTTTAATTAATTCAAAGTTTGCTATAATAAATGCTGAGCACTAACCTTATTTTTATTTCTTTTATTTCTTCTATTGTTTAATTCAAGTCTGATCATTGACTCCTTTAAATCATCCATAAATTAAAATTAATTGAAATATCGTTTCTAGAAAAAAAAAGCAAAACTTTTCCTAATTCTTCTTAGAAATATAGACGATAAGACGACTCTCTTTCCAGGTTCCGACTCTGGAAGAGAAAAGACACATATAATCATTATTCGCTTGATAATTATAAGTTTAATTTTTGAAGAAAAAGAATTTAACTTAATCATAACTATAGTTAACTGACTAATGTCGATGTAAGCGGCTCTTTTCATACCGACGAGTCTCGGCGCGACACGATGTCTCGCGGAGGTATTTTGGAAAGAACACAGACGGCGATGACGTGTTAATAATAAACCTAAGATCATTCCTAATTTTCCTCTTATTTCTTGTTTATAGCCTTCTTTGATGCCAAAGATGGCAAAGCCGATGGCACCATGACGAAGTTTCTATCACTTCTATCGCTCCCTCTCAATTACGCATGATTTTCTTAGTTTGTCCTCTCTTAACATTTTCTTTCTCTTCCTCCCTCTCTCTTTGTCTTTAATTCTCTCTGTCGGGATTCAGCGGACATCATTAGCTTATGTATATCATCATAATAAAAATTGTTATGGACTTCCTACAATAAGCTATATATCTTAGTTAATCTTAAATTATAAGACATTAACCAATAACAGTTGAATGTGAGAAGAATAATCGATTATGATTGGTCAATTTTTCATAGATTAAGACTTGAAACTTATGAACTTATTGTAGAAACTCCATTATCTTACAGCCATAATCACTTTAATCTTTACTATACAAAAGCTGACACTCGCATATTCCTTACACACACCATACGCTATGGTCAATTTTGCAAATAGCATATTGCTTTTTTTTGCAATGTCCGCAGAACCGACTCACGTGCCAAACTTTGACAAAAACGTTAATCCTCGGACGCGTGTTCAGTTACTTATATCTTCTCGAAAAAACATAACTTTGTCCAGAAACACTTCAAATATCAGACATTAAATAAATCCAATCTAAGACGCAAGTTACGTTAAAAACAAGAATCATGCGTGTATCTACACACAGTCTCGGAAAACGTTCTATATATGTATATATAAAACAATTTCAAAATACTATACTCTTTAATACAAATTCCGAAATTTCGGTTTAAAGCATCCAAAAAATGACTTAAGCTAAAAGTTTCCATCAAGATTCACGTACACGTTATCAAAGGCAGTAAGAAATGTGCGTACAAAGTCGAGTATAATTCCAATCAGGAAAATCATCACAGAAATTCGATTATCCTTCGAAAGAATGTTCTACAGTCTATCGTGAGTATGATGAATACAATGTACAAAAAGATTATTACACTATTTTATCGTCGCTCACGAATAAACCATCTAGAATTCCGAAGAACACAGCTCATCTCTGTGATTCTATGTTATCGTTCCGAGAACGACAATGGCGCGCAAAGAGACTATTTTCCCTCCCACATCATATCCGTTTATCATCCGGTATATAAGCAACCCTGTTTTCTCCAGCGATTCTCAAACTTGGATTTCACACTTACTCTTAGCTGCAAATAGTAATATTACGCGATCGCTATTTCGA